CATAGAAGGCGCGGGGTCAGGATTTTAAAAGCAAACAGTTTTATAACAAATAAATGACCAAACTCATGCACAGTTACTAGGCCAGTTAAATACAAGAACTAAAGGTGACCTCCTAAATAGGGAAAAACAAGGACTGGAGAGAACACGCAAGCTGGAGCTCAGCTCCACTAATATACTAAACCAATGAGTCAAAAGTAAACTCACCAATTCTGCTATTCCCCCTTTTTGGGTTAAAATAGCAAGCAAACTGATTTAGTCCAAACCAACTAAAGGCGAGCACAGGGCTGTTAAGGTAATGGAAACAAAACAGTAATAATTACTAAATCAAAGTGCTTTTGAGCCAACACACCAAAAGCAATACTTATGCTCCACTGAGCACACACAACCAACAGGTTAATTTAAACTCTACAAAGGCTCCACTGAGCAAACACAGGAAGAAGGTTCAAACTAACCTATTTCCTACCTCTATTGAGCACACTCTCCAAAAGTTCCACAGAACTCAGAGTAAAACCAAACTCAATGAAATTACATAGGTTCAAACTAAGTGTGTCTAGATTTCATCCACTCTCTAGGTATTCCCCACTCTTTCTGCCCCTTGGTTCTTCTGGCCGCGCCCTTTTAAAAACTCAGAAGCTGATTAGGGATTGAGCGCAGCTGGAAGGCGGGAAGGAGGAGCAGGAGCGGAGGAGGGGCTGCCCCTCTCTGCAGGGAAGTGGAGCAGGAACAGGAGCAGGTAGAAACTGGTGATCATAACATGGACCAACTTCCAGTAAACGCAAAGCATCCAGCCCACCTCTCCAAATGCGTAAAATGTGCATCAGCCGCTAGTTAGGCGCGCCGCGCGCACCATCAGCTGATCAGCCCAGACAAGAGCAGAGCAAATAGAGAAAGAATAGAGGATAACTCTGTCTGGATGTGGATGGAGATTACATTTTACAGCAGCTTGATCATCATTTAAATACGTAAACCATCACCTGTCTTCTAGTCCACCCTATCGGCATTATTTTAATTGGTGTGTGTGTGTGTGTGTGTGTGTGTGTGTGTGTGTGTGTGTGTGTGCGTGCGTGCGTGCGTGCGTGCGTGTGTTTGTGTGTGTGTGTTTTCCACTTCAAACACTGGTCTAACCAACCAGACCAGTGTGTCCAGTAACATATTAATGTTACAATTAAACAGTTTCCCTTCATGTAGGCTAGGAACATTTCACCTGCCGTGGCCCGACCGCTTCTGCTCCACATAAACTTTGTGCGTGATCAAATGTCTCTACGCGTCATGCATCTCCATATTAGAGACGGGAACAAGCGCTGTTCAGCCAAAGTTTCATAATTTCATAAAAAGAACATTTTTCCAAGTGACATCCCTCAGAGAGACCGGGTTTCCAGACTGTTTCAGTGGGAGGAAATCTTATCGCATGCGCCGTGGTTCTGCGCTGCGCTGCGCTGCGAACCCCAGATCTTCAGCTCACTGTCCACCGTTGGCTCTCTGAGCCGCGCTGAACACAGTGTCCAGTATAAAGCTCTGATGTTCTGATGGGAATATTTTACCTCCGCGATGTGCGTTAACGATTAAAATGTCAGCTCATCCATGCGCATCCGTGTGCGTCGGGGTAATTCTTTCAAACCAAGCAACATCCTTGAGTTCATCTGTCAAAATAAACAGTCAAATGAAACGAGGGCCCGGGTGCGTTTCGATCCCCAGACTCCCGGGTGAGAGTCATACGCTCTAACGAGTCAGCCAAAGGGACATCCCCTTGGCCAAGTAGCCAGGGTGCATTATCTATCGGGACACTGTGACAGGACACTCACACTGCCAAACCTGATTATGAAACTTTGGCTGAATAGTGCTTGTTCCTGTCTCCAATGTGGCGACGCATCCAGGAACCTGTCTGAGGAGAAGCCCTGAATCTCACATCCTTCAGCTCATAAAGTGCCCATATGATTACGCACAAGCGTGACGCGTCAACCCGGTCTCACAGTAAGATCGGGTTGGACCTGTTCAGGTTTACGCAGAAAATCTTTACATTTAGAATTGGCATACAGATGTAAAATTAATGCAGTAAAATATAAAGCTTTTTATTTAAATATCCATTCATTATTTTACAAGCACAGATGGATGGAAGAGCCGCATGTGGCTCCAGAGCCGCGGATTGCCGACCCCTGTGCTAGCCTACTTTATTGTCCCCAGCAATTTTTAAACCCCACTCAAGTGTATGGTTATTGTCCCCAGCAATTCTGAAAACAAACTGACGCCCTTGCATACAACAGTTTGTATTCTAATATTGTGGGGTTTCACAAACTAAAGCCAGCTCCATGTACTCATTTTCCTCTCCTTTCCCCTCTGGACAAACTGTGATGGTGGGTCCTTGTAGTCTTATAAACGACTAAAATCACTGAAGCAAACATCTTTGCTGTGAATTAAGTTTACTGTGTATCTTCATTCCTTTTGCCGTTCAATTTCAAACTGATTATTTTTCCTACTCGGAAGTTGGAATTTCCGAGGAGAAAGCGAACGCACCATTAGCTATGTAAACAAAAACTATCTTAAACAGCTTATTTGGCTGCTGGAGCAGATTAAGATGCCTCATACTCAGATTGTTGTCACTGGTTTCATCTTCACCCAATAGGACTTGTGATCGTGGCGTCATCACCGACGCAGCCGCCCCGTTGGAGGCGTGTGAGTCCTTACTTGTTGCTTGTTACTACTGTAAACAGCGCGCTCAGTCTCGGTCTTGTGGCTTTAATTAATCTAATATTCAGTTGATCAGTTATATTACACAACTCTAGTAAATTATTGCTGTGTTGTGGGGTGACACACGTGATTGCAAGGGGAATAAAGGTGGAGAACAAGCTAACTTTTCATCGTTTCCTGCTCAGAGGCAAAACCACGGAGACCAAGTATCTAGCTTAACAAATTCTCGCCGGCTCGTTTGGATCGCAGCTATAAGGCGACCAAACATCACCTTCCGGAGTATTTTCATTCTGGTAAGTTAGAGATGGTGTACATTTTTATACATCGTTTCGAACTGCAACATGCATACACACACACACACAGACTACACTCACATATTGGTGTTCAGCTAATGCAGGTGCGCTGACACACAAAGCAACTTCTCCAGCTTCTCTGTGACAGTTTGCGTACACTCGTCAATTTCCCAATATGTCCTCACACATCCCAGAATGTTATGCATTATCACGTGTGATCACAAGTCCTAAAGCCCATCGCATAATGTGAAGTGAAACCAAACTTTAGAGCGCGTTCGTTTTCTTCTTGTCAGAATTTTGGCATTCCAAGGAGAAAGTGAACGCACCATTAGCTGAATAGGAGCTAGCATATCAAGCTAACATTATCTTAAACATTTTATTACCGGAGCAGATTAAGATGATGATGCCTTACTTAGATTGTTGTTGCTGGTTTCATCATCATGCAGTTACCTATCCTATTTAGTGAAGTAGACCCAAACTTTCCTCTCTGCCATGCTGCTTTGTTTACAGCTCACCCACAGTAACTGATGACGTTACAGTCTTGCGCCGGCGTGTGGCACGAGTACCGAAACAAGGCACCGTTTCATATGACGTGAATCGGTACTCAATCGGTACTGTAGGTTGGTGCCTTAAAAAGTACCTAATTCGGTACCCATCCCTAGGCAAGACTGAATCAAGAATTTTCAAACCAAGTCATAATCTTCACTTGTCTGCTGCTCCATCTTTCACCTCCTTAAACCTTAAACTCTGTGTAGCCATCCTTGGGGTCAAACTTGACTTAGACCTATCAATAGCCCGTCAGATCATGTTTCTTTCACTACTGTTGCTTAACTTCCCCGAAACCGATACTGAAACAACCACAATTGGAGTCTGTAATACATGCACCTCAAGGTTGGACTTTGAAGAGTCACTCCTCATTGGTGTCAATACTTCCTCCCTCAAAGTCTGCTGAAAGTGAAAAACGCTGCAACCATGTTTTTGACCAACATAGAGAGACGTTGTCATATTACACCCATTCTGGCAGTGGCAGACCTTCATTGGCTCAGCTGAGTTTTAAAGATCTGCCCTTCATTTACAAAGCTCTGAACGGTCAAGCTCCTCTGCCTCTGTCTGAGTTCATCACCCCCTACGTGCCCTTACGTTCATTAAGGTCCGCTGCTCACCTGCCACTGTGCACCCGGAATTAAATCAAAACTATGTGGGAAGCAATCTTTCTTGTTTGCCACCCTCAAACTCCAGAATACAATCCTGCTCTCTGTGAAGGAGGCACCCTCCCTTTCTCGATTTAAATCTGTACTGAAGGCATACTTTTACAACTTTCGCTTTTTTGTTGGTGATCACTTTTTCCTCTTTAATCCCTACTTTTGTAGTCTTCTTGTTTTATGTATGGGTCTTTCTATGCTTTGCCTCTAGTTTTAGGCATTTTCACCTTGTGCAATATTATCTGTTTTTATACGCTGTTTATGCTCTGTAAATCTCCAGTATATAAAATCTGTTGCTTTTGTTTTGCTGTGTCAAAAGAAAAACATTCATTTTCCTGGATCACATAGGTATTGAAAAGTAAAATTTAGGGTTTTTCTCAGCAACAAAAATGAGAAATGGGTCACTTCCTGCTTGTTGGACCAAAACAAATTCACTAAATCCTTATAAAGGCAATCATTTTAATGTGAAAGCTTGTGTTCCTTTTTCATTCCATTCACTTTATAAATTATTTTTCCTTTTGCTTCAAAAAAGAAAAAGTCTTGCCCCAAAATCAGATGTGTTTTTCTTTTCGTGCCTGTGAAACATTGTTGCGCCATCTGTGCTTTTTTTCCACAGGTGATGCCATTTAAAAGACATGTATGGTTTTTTTCATTAACAATGGGTTTAGAGGGACAGATTTTTCACGAGTTAGTTCTGTTTAAGTTGTTCCTAAAAATAATAATAATAATATATATATATATATATATATATATATATATATATATATATATATATATATATATATATATATATGTATAATATTAAAATGTTTTTTACCAGGTGAATGAGATCTACCACGATGACTCTTTGGGAGCAAAAATCAACGTGGTTCTGGTGCGGATGATCATGCTGGGATACGGCAAGGTAAGACCTTATGGGACTAGAGTCTTTCTTAGAAGATGCACTTCCTGATGTTTCTATTGACTTGAGATTTAGTTAGTACTGCTCTTAGCTACAGCTAACTCATAAACACACACATAAATGCACCCTCGTCAGAGCACATGCAGGCTCTCTGCTTGTTATTTCAGTGGGCTGAGCAAAAGGGGAACTAAAAGCATGCAGCATCCCAGGGTAGTGTTTCCAAGTCGCACGCCTTTAGAGTTCAGCGCCAAAGCACACAGAAATTCTACCCGTTATGCAATCAGTGTTCTTCCCAGCAGGTTGCAGCCCCGAATCACGGGCAGTCTAGACAAAGGTAAATAATCAATGATACCCCGTCCTCATTCATGGAGGAACTGGACTGTCAGGATGAATCCCTTTTTTTCTGGACTGTTACTCTATCCACCTGCACCCCTCGGTCGAAGAGAGGAAAAGGAGATTCTGTTTGGACGCACGCTGGGATTACCTCCCCAGCTGACCCAAATGAATTTATTGGTAGGTAGTTGCTCTGTGATGCACTTCTGCTGTTGCAGCCACGTCTACAGCCCCAACGGACGCCTGGAAACACACACACACACACACACACACACACACGAACACTACCCAGCATTGGTCATTCTGTGCCGGCGCCTGTGCAGCTTCAGCCAAAGCCTTAGCTGTCCATCATTCCCAATTACCGTAGCAACAGAGCTGCACCCAGACAGCCTGCAGATTGACTATGTAACCCTGAATGCAGACACTCTCACAGGCCCACACAGTCCAGCATAACAAACACTCATGTTAAATATCATAAAAATACTTTTGAACATATGCACAAGCAACTGATAAACCTTTCAAAAGCACGCACAGAGTCCACCCTTTCTGACTGAGGTTTGTGCATGATGTATGTGCACTTTTTACACTATGTAGAGGGAAGCCATATGTATCTCTGACCGCGTACCAACTATAATTGTGCTGCACTTCTTAAAGGGAGTGCAAAAAAAAATAAAACAAAATAAATTAAAACCAAGAAACAGGTGGTGACAAATACTGCATGTGGCCTAGAAGAGATCCCAGTTCAGAAGAACATAAAAGGTGAAGGTTGGCGTGAGCTGAGGGTGATGCTGGTGTCTGAGTCTGTAGATGTTGGGGTTAATTATGACTAGATAACACCCATCCCATCGGCCCAGCTACACTTTTATTGTGAAAACTATCAGTTGAAGGATGCATTATTATTGTTTTCATGCATGTCTTTGAGGCTGTGTGTTTCTCTGAAGGATCTGCTCCTGTAATAAATGTCTCAGCAGTTTGGGAGATCTGCTGAAAATAAGAATTACACTGTGACACTGCCCCCTAGTGGGCTTATTAAAGCGTACTGCTTAAATGAAAACATCCATGTTTTTGTAGTCACTTTACCCTGTCCTCTTCCTGTCACTGTGTGTTTTCTTCGTTTCAGTCCATGAGTCTGATTGAACTCGGGAACCCATCTCAGAGTCTGGAGAATGTGTGTCGATGGGCCTTTCTGCAGCAGAAGCAGGACACAGGGGACGCCGAGTATCATGATCATGCCATTTTCCTCACACGCCAAGAATTCGGCCCCACTGGCATGCAGGGTATTGAAGGACACACACAATCCAAGCTGATTAACATACTGTAGACTGCAGCGTGGGCCCAGGAGGAGAACTGTCCTCTCCTTTCCTTTGCTTTGTGTAGCTGCTGTAGCTTTGGTGGTTGATGGTTTTCTGTGCAGCAGAGTGCAGGCTAACAGTCAGGCCCAGGAGACAGGCCTCTAAAGCCAGTGGCCTAGCAATCCTGAAGCCCTTCAGCTGCCCTTGGGCGCAGCCTTCAGCAGCAGAAAATCAATATAGAGAGGAGGGCCAGCCACAGCTCCACAATTAAAGGCAGCACAGGACAGGCAAGCACACAGGGAGCCGAGGACTGGCATGTGGGCTTAGGATTAGACACATACATGCAAACAGCTTTCTGTCCATGCTCTGGTACTTTCTCTTTTCATGTGTGCAGCCATGTTGGAAAAAACATTTGTCCCCTCATACATTTCTTCCATGTCTTGGATTTTTTTTTTGTTACAGCTAAATGTTTCTGATCAGAAAATGAACAATAGTGTCTGACAACAATAATCTGGGTAAATAGTTTAATATCCATCCAAAATGCAGCAGCCAGACTCCTAACCAAATCCAGCAGACGAGCTCACATCACCCCAGTTTTACAGTCCTTCCACTGGCTCCCGGTAGAATACAGAATACAGTTTAAAGTTTTAGTCCTGACCTATAGAGCTCTTAACAACCAGGCTCCAAGCTACCTATCTGAGCTTTTATCCCCACACATCACTTCACGGAACCTTAGATCCACATCTGAAAACCTCCTGGCTGTTCCTCGAACCAGACTAAAAACCAAAGGGGACAGGGCCTTTCAGACTATTGCCCCCAGACTTTCGAACAGTCTACCTTCAAATCTCCGTCTCTTGAAATCTGTAGAGGTCTTCAAAAAACATCTTAAAACTCACCTTTTCATCCAGGCGTTCCCTCCCTAAATATTCTAAAAGATGGCTTTGTTCTTGTTCACACCTTGACTTTGTTTTTACTCCTGATTTTGGTTACTATTGTTGTCACTGCTATTGTTTTTATGATGTTTTTATTGGTTTGAGGTATTTGCCCTGATTTTACTCATGTTGTACAGCGCTTTGTGATTTATATCTGTGAAAGGCGCTATATAAATACACTTTACTTACTTACTTACTTTAAAAAGATCTTTTCACATAGCAAAAACTGTTGGAAACAACCGGGCCAAAATTGACCCATAAAGTTAAGAACTGGTTGGAACTGGAACTGGTTTGTGATAACTGGTTTAAAGTGTCTCGTGTGAAGTTGATGGAGTTTTGTCTTGCTCTTCTTTACAGAATTGTCTTAAGTCAAACACATAAGAGCATTTTCTAGCATTAACTTTTTAAGGTCAAAGTTCAGATTTTCTTCATCATAATGTTCTACTAGAGAGCTGAGGTCATGGTTCCATCAATTACAGGCAGGTGGTCCAAGCCCTGAAGCAGAAAAGCAGACCCAAACCATCACACCAGCATCACCATGCTTGGCTGTTTTACACCTGATGTAATGAGACACACACCTTCCATAAAGTTCCACGTTTGTCTCTCCAGTTTATCGAACAATGTCCAAAAAGTCTTTGGGGCTTCAGTTCACAGAATATTTCCCCAAAGGGATCATCAATATAATTTTTGGCCAGTGTAGGGCAGGTCTTTGTCCCTTGGTGCCTTTTGTTTACCTTCAAATTGTTGAGACCTGAGCCCTAAAAGTGAGACTTGCATCATGAATGCTGGTTCTAGGTGTTTGATGTGTTTTTGAGAGGATTTGACCTGCTTCGTGTTGTTCGACAGGTTCTATTGATGCAATGTCTTAACTCTACAGGTCTGACAGTTATCAGGTCTGGGTGTGGCTGGTGGAACTGGACTCACTTTTCTGTGTGATGTTTTTAATCTAAAGTGCATTCATGGTCTGAGAAGGGGGACAATCACTTGTTCACATAAAGCCTGGTTGGTTATGAAATCCTAATTTGAAAACTGCATTTTTTTTTTCATTTACTCTTGCTGATCTGAAACATTTAAATGTGACCAGAGAAAAACAAAAATTGAAGAGATCTGTAAAGGCTAATGCTATTTGACAGTACCGTCTAAAAGTCTGGGTTTTAGGCTACAGTAGGCGTTGATCCTATCCTGCTAGTTAGTTTGAGGAAATACATTTAGACGTTTAGCAGTTGACCAACAAGTAAATATTCATCTTAAGTTGTATTTCATGTATGTCTGTAGTGTTGTTGTAGCCAATCACAGCTGCTGAATCCTAAACGTTGCCTCCCTGGTTTCTAAGGTTATGCTCCAGTGACGGGGATGTGCCATCCTGTGAGGAGCTGCACTTTGAACCATGAAGATGGTTTCTCCTCTGCCTTTGTGGTGGCACATGAAACTGGACACGTGTAAGTGTAGCAATAATGCTAACGCCAGAGAGAAAATCAGGATAACAGAGAGTTCTGATGCAGCGGTCACTGTCTGATGAGTGAATTCCTCTCCTCTCTTCTCTTTGTTGCTTTTTGCTTTTTACCTCCTATCCCCAACCTGTTTCCTCTCCCTTCTCCTCCTCCCCTCTTTTTCTTGTTTCTTTGTCTGCTTAGGCTGGGGATGGAGCACGACGGTCAGGGAAACCGCTGTGGAGACGAGGTGCCCATGGGCAGCATCATGGCTCCGCTGGTGCAAGCTGCCTTCCACCGCTTCCAGTGGTCCAGATGTAGCATGCAGGAGCTGGGACGCTACCTTCAGTGAGAACACACACACACAACAAACAAAGTTTTATTAGATGAGCTTTTAAAGGTCAGATCTGGCATCACAAAACTCCTTTCAATCTGGAATGATGATTTGGTAGCATAGCAGGACATTGTATGGAAGAAAGAATCACAAAAAACGAACATTTTCTGCTGCAACAAGGCTGATTGATTGTTTTTAATTGGGGTTTTTGTGAAATAGTAAAAAAAAAGGTTTCCTCTGTCCATGTGGTTGCTATGAGGATTGACAATCTTTCTTTTACTCTTTTTACACAGTTTATACATTACAACAACAGAAGCACTTTGTCACAAACCACTAGTGGGCTTAAGGGCAGAAAGTTGACAAATATTGAGTTTTACATTTCAGGAGGTAACTTCATAGGCACTCATTAAAACTATTATTTTACAGTAATAATTACTCCTCCCATACATACAACTTTGTATTCATCTTTAATAGACTTGTTAATGAGATACAAGAAAACGAATGGCAGAAAATGCTCAACAAAAATAACACTATGTCTGCTTTTGCAGTTCTTATGACTGTCTCCGGGATGACCCATTTGACCACAACTGGCCGTCGTTGCCTCAGCTTCCTGGTTTGCACTACTCCATGAATGAACAGTGTCGCTTTGACTTCGGCACAGGCTACACGATGTGTACCGCGGTAAGGGATATCCGTAATCCAGCACTCACTTAAACACCAAAACTTACAAGCTGTACCACCATGATCAGGGAATGCTTTTAGAGCTGTGAGTAAAACCAGTTTAGGCTCTTTGGGTCATTGGTATTTATTGATTTCCCTGTGGTGTGTAAAGTATTTTATATTTAGCTGGGCCCACTTGTGGCTTCAATTCATTTCTTTAAAATTAAATTCAATCCTCAACATTCACGTTCTTCTGATGTCCTCTGTTTCCTCTCCCTGCCACGGGTGGGATTGACATCTTGCTTAAAAGCAGGTAATTGGTTTTAATAGATATTTCCTTTTTTATCTTAAAGGGGTCCTAGAATTCAAAACCACATTTATAGATGTTCTGATCACATTTGATTTTGAGTATCTGCTGATAAGAAATCCTGATCCGTTACTTCAGCAAAGCATTAAAGTAAGAAGAAAAAGAAAGACACATCCAAACTGTCCTCCAGGTTTTTTATTATTATTTAAAAGTGCTGTCTTTTCCACCATGTGAAATGCCTAATGTGCAAACAGTACTGTGGCTGTAGCAATGTCAGGTTGAAAATACAGACATTATCATTCTCCTGTGCATTAGCCTGCTAGCTGGCTAACTAACAGCTACATATTATGGTGTAAGAATTCACCACCTGCCGTAAATTGTGTGACGTTCTGATGTTTTCATCCAAAAATCAAAGAATATTCAAGTAGAGGAACTTGTTCATTTGAAGTCTTTAATCCAGTCTTTTCCACGCGATTCTGGATACTTTGAACATCATGTGATCTGGACTGATTTCTGATCAGATGATTGGATCGACGTATCCCTACACATTTACCTTAGTAATGTTGTAATGGCCACTGCAATACATTTTGTCCTGATTTAACAAATTTTAAATTTAACAAATGATAAACTTAGATGCACTGAATGTGTCCCAACACACGTCAATATCAACAATGTTTATATAAAAATTATATATATATATATATATATATATATATATATATATAAATTTATATTAGGGGTGAGCGACTACACCACTATCTGTATCTGTATCTGCATCTGTTCAACCATCTAAATGATCTGTATCTGTATTCGGAGTGGGCGTGGCATAACCCGGAAGTGAATGTGATTTACATCAATACATTATTTTAAGTCTGAAATTGATATGGATTGATCAGAAGTTGATATGTGTATTGTTTATTTGCAAACTATTTACAGAGCAGCCTCAGAATTGAGATTAAATATTTTTGATCACAATAGTAAAGAAACTGTTACAGAACAAGTTTTTCAATAAAACCAGAACATTAATATTTAAGTGCATGAATTAATACATCTGAACTCATGCAGTAGGAACTAGGAAATATGAAATCCTAGAACCAGACACAACTTTTTATTTATTTTATTTTAATTTGATTAAACTGATTTTTTCTTAACGTTCTTGGCATTTTTCCCACACAAAGTTAAACAAAATGTTGATTAAGGTGTGTGTGTGTGTGTGTGTGCGTGCGTGCATGTGTGTGTGTGTGTGTGTGTGTGTGTGTGAGAGAGAGAGAGAGAGAGAGAGAGAGAGAGAGAGAGAGAGAGAGCTGTTTCTTTATTAACCAGCAGCACTTTTAGTTTTTTAGGGTCTGAAGTATTTTGTTTCTCAGAAATGTGGGTTTCTGATCTTCAAAAATCTTCATCTAGATCGTGATCTAGATCATGACAATAGAGGCGTGGGTGTCTCATGATATAATACCATTCCTGGGTCACTGAAGGAAATTCAGATGAGCCGCAAAGCTGCGTGTGTTAACGGGATGGTGATTTAAGCTCCCACTGACTTTGTTTGCCAGATGCAGACAGGATCAAAGTACCTGACAGCTGCAGGCCCGGAGACTGCAGATTCACGCCTGCACCGTCAGTAGAAGTAAATCGGTGGTCTCCAGTTCTGTAGCTGTACCTTTCTCGATGGCCCAGCCACAAAGGTTCATAAATGGTCAGTCGATCACTTTCATCCTTGTGCACATGCACAGATATGTTTATTTCCTTGCTCCCAGAAGAACCAGAGTGCAAACATTAATTTTATTTTATTTGAATTTTTTTTGCTAACTGCAGAAAGTAACAAACGGTCTTCCGAAATGACGGGTAAACAGTTATTAGGAACAGCAATGAAATCGCTGAGTTGGCCATTTTGAGCCTTAAAAGCAGAGGTGTGGACTCGAGTCAGACTCGAGTCATTATTTTAATAACTTCTGACTTGACTTGATAAAATCTATAAAGACTTACGACTTGAACGCCAATGACTTGCGACTTGAATCGACTTGCATCTGTTGACTTGATGATGACTTGAGCATATTTGATATTTTAGCACAAAAGTGGCACGACATGGACAAAAATCATAAATCATTCTTTGTTCTGGGTTTGATCTTGTATGGCTAAGTGCAGCAGCACTTTGCTTATAATCAGTTTCAGTTGCACTTTCTGCATGTCTGAGCAAATAAATGAAGCTTAAAGAAGCTTTATTTCTGGAATTTATTTGTTATCATTGTCATTAAATTGAAGTTGGACAGATGACTTGATTATGACTTGAAATTTCAAAGTTCAGGACTTGGACTTGACTTGGACTTCCAGATCATTGACTTTGGACTCGATTTAGACTTGGTTGTCTTTGACTTGGACTTGACTTGACACTTGACTGGAAATACTTGTGACTTACTTGTGACTTGCAAAGCAGTGACTTGGTTACACCTCTGCGTAAAACGTTCCATATGCTATTTAAATGCTAATAAAAACACTTCCCTAGTGTAAAAAAATGTGTTCTAGGACCCCTTTAACATACTTAATGTAAATAAATACCTTATGACTGCACCACAGTGCCTTTACATGAACTCATTAGTTTGAAAACACTAAAACAGCATCACATGCTTGATAAGTGCCACCCAGCCACAGTGCCATTTCTTGCTTCTCTTTAGTTTTTCTTCAGCCAGCTTTATTTTTTCTGACTGCGAAGCCACTGTGGCACATTGTTGCAAAGCTGTGTTTTGATTGATTAAGGGCCTGTTCAGGGGCATTGCGCACATTGCTAGATTACCCTCTATTCTCTTGTCAAACTCAATCCCCTCAGCTACAAAAGGCGGGCCAGTCTGGAGCACAGGTAAGGTAACCCCGCCTCACTGGAAGGAAATGTGGCCCCCTCATTTATTTTGTCAGACATTCTTGTCCTATTTGTTCTCTAAAGTTTTCTTTTTCACTTTGTACCTTTATATCTATGTTCTGCCCATCATCATAATTTGGGTATAAGTCTGCAGGATTCTAAAATGCTTATACTTTAAGAGAAGGTGGAGTCAAATCTTTAAAAATGCCCAAAATCCTAATTTCTTTTGGGGGTGTGGTGCTGTCCAGGACTTGATAAGTACCATACCCACAGTCCACTCCTGCAAATCAGCGTTAAATCTCTGCATCACCGGCTGGAAGAGCCTCATTGTATTGGCACTCCAATGACTATGAGCAAGTGGAAAAGCTTGGAAAGATGTCTTTCCCATTCTGGGAAAAGCTCAGCCAGAGCAGAGGTCCGTTTTCCATGTTTTGCATCAGCTTTTAGGATCCTCCAGCCTGACGTAGTTGGTGATTACCTACCACAGTCCTAGCCACTGCTTGTAATTCACCTTCTGAACTGCAAGGGTCAACTGGGGTCACAATAGGTAGTAAAACCAGTGGGAGAAAGGGAGAAGAACATTAAGCTTTGCTTCATATCAAACGCGAAGGGGAGGAGCATTTTGCAGGTCGCTGCCACCTCACCATTTCCAAACACCGTGTTCTCTGACCTTCACAGTGATGTTATCAAATCATGAATGTCTCACTACGAGATCTCTTTCCCTTGTTGTCATGCATTGGTTGAGTTTGCATGAATGGCTGTGTGTGTTTCACAGTGAAGCGTGGTGTAAAGTGCAGTGATTCAGCTCAGACTGTGTTTTTATTGTTGGGTATATTATCATGATGGCTCTTGTTATTTTGACATTTCTCTTCCCTACTCTCTTTTTGTTCCTTTTATTCATCGTTTAGTCTTTAGTTGACGGTAGACTTGGTTACGAGTGTGTCCGTTAATCATGAGGAGTCTCTGTGCCCCACAGTATCGCACGTTTGATCCCTGCAAGCAGCTGTGGTGTAGTCACCCAGACAATCCCTTCTTCTGCAAGACCAAGAAGGGTCCACCCATCGATGGAACCATGTGTGGGGATGGAAAGGTATCCATACTTTACTGCTACACAAACCAAATGTTGAATTAAATGAATTTGGTCCACTTTGATTTGTTTCTGTTGTAGCACTGCTTTAGGGGTCACTGCATCTGGTTGACTCCTGACATCATAAAGCAGGATGGAAACTGGGGCTCATGGAGCGAGTATGGACAGTGTTCCCGCACCTGTGGAGGAGGAGTTCAGTTCCGCACAAGAAGCTGCGACAATCCAAGGTATACCAATAATTTCTAGCATGTAAATGTTTTTCTTTCCTTTTAAATAATAATTAAGGTCATGTATACAGTAACTCGAGTCATTTCAGCTGTTTTCCTGTCTGAATTAATGGACACATGAATTATTATTACAACAAATAAAATTCAGTTTTGCTTTGTTAGTTTATCAGGATGCAAGTGTAATTATTGAATGACCACTAATATTGAAAGATCTTACATAGCCATGCATAGTTAAATGTTTAAATGTTATCAAAAGGACGTACAAACAGAGGAGATTGGTATTTTTTGCTTGATTATAGCATGAAATTAACAACAAATGTCAACATTTTATTAAAGCTCCAAATCTGAATATTTTTATTTAATAGGGGGAATAGTGCAGACATTGAACTAATGACTGTAAAGCTCAGCAGACCCTTGGTTTCACAGGATAGCACTGTCTGTCATCTACCTCAGGACTTGGAATCCAGTTTGGGGATCTGTGCCACGTCCACTTTTTCTCTCTTTTTTATCTACTTTTGTTTAACAAGGAAGATCGCTGTAAAACAGAAGTTTACCTTCTTGAGTGCTGGAGTTAGGGTTAGTACAATGGCATTTGCTGGATAAAATTTTTTCTATGATTAAGTGTGATTCATGCCGATCAGTGTTATGGTTCCCCGTACTCAAATCAAACATTAACACTGGGAAAAAATCCTGGGCAAAAAATTTATATTAGCAATTGTAATACACAAATTTCCAATAATAACGTATTTCATTTGTCAATTAGGGTTATGATGACCCTACCTTTTACCTAACTTTCCAATAATTAAGTATCGTATTTGCTGAAGTAAGCATTAGCAATACATTAATAATGAAAAAAGCTGGCAAATGCAAACTACCATGAACATCGTTGCTTGCAATATACACATTTCCACCAATAAATTATCACATTTGCAGATTAAGGTTATGAGGCTCCAATTTTTGGCATTATCAATACATTAACATGTATGGCAAACACTCATTGACCACGTGCCACCTGGTGGAACTTTTGGCAAATTTCATACACCCGATCAAACTTTAAATAATCGCCACAAAGGGGCAGTCGCACCTAGCTGGATGGGACACAGATAGGAACATGCACAGCGGTCCTTTGCTCGCTTATGTGGTTGCGGCCGGTCTGGGGATCCACGAGGGTCCTGGCTGCAAGTTTACAAAGTTTGGTCAAAAGTGATGCTGTGTACCAAATGTTGTTTTGGCCCAAGTGAGGGTTAGGGTTTCTGCAGGTTGGAAACCGGTATCCTCATTGTCGTGCTATAGGAGACCTGGCCAAATATTAGTAGACAGAGCTGAACACAAAATGTTATGCATACAAACATCAAGCTAACTAACTGACATGCTAATGTCTGTACATTTTATGCTCAAGTCAGTTATCTTGGATATGGAGATTGAGGCTAGCTAAGTACCACTAACGTTCCCAGCCAGAGTTAGAACTTTGAAAGGTGTTTCCTCTGTCAAACACAGGTCAACTACTGTAGAAAGCATTGAAGAAGTAGATTGTGCTGATTAGAAAGCCTCTGTTTCTCCTGTCGTACCACAGTCCAGCCAACGGAGGCCGGACTTGCATAGGGGCAACACAACAGTTCCAGATGTGCAACACTAATGAGTGTGAAGACATCTACAGCGACCCAAGAGAGGAGAAGTGCCATGCCTTGGACCACAGCAACAAACACCACTGGATGCCTTATGAAGACCCAGACCGTAAGTACCACCAAATCTGATGCGATGATGCACTTCTGGACATTTTATTACAGCTTGAAGTCAAAAAAGAGAACAAAAGCATATTTAATGATGTTTTAGGGGATTTGTACTTTTATTGATTGTCTTGTTTTGGTCACTGATAACTGGCTGTCCTGCTGCACCTGAGCAAAGCTTTGAAAAATGAAGCATTATCTGTAATAGTGTGTGATTGTTTGGCACATACGAACTATGGGTTTTACACTGGAAACTTAAAGCTGTCTATTTTATTTAAAAAAGCTTTTTGCATTAAGGTGTTTTAAAGCAATAATGTATAATGTGTATAGAAAGGTACACAGCTGTGTCACGTCCAGATTCATATCATCCATATTAAAGGGCTGTTCCTCTTAAATTGTGCTGAATAACAGCATAATAATAAACAGCTGTGTTAAATTATTATTTTTGATTAATGTTCTAATTCTTCCTTCTTTCACTCACTTAGATCACATTTCCTTGTGTGTGTGTGTGTGTGTGTGTGTGTGTGTGTGTGTGTGTGTGTGTGTGTGTGTGTGTGTGTGTGTGTGTGTGTGTGTGTGTGTGTGTGTGTGTGTGTGTGTGTGTGTGTGTGTGAAAGTGAATTCCATTCAGAGTTTGTCATCCTCTGAATTCCTGATAACGTGAGAATGTCAGCTCCAGATGTGAATGTGTAATGTTTGTTTAACAAATTCTTGTTTTCATTTCTACTTCTGGGGATTTTCCTTGCGTCATCAAAGGTTCTGTAAATTACTCCTGAGAAAAGACACACGAAATATGAGTCAACCTTGGAACTTGTGTTTTTACTGTCGGCAGCGTTATGACATTTTAACAAAAATATCTACAGAACAGAGTTTGTCTAACCTCTTAAATTTGAACACCCCCAGCCCACCCCCCGAGACTTTTAAAACATGTGTTGGGGTTTTGATCTTTGTGTCGGGTTTTGATTCTGTTTTAAATTCATCTGAGTTTAGTTAGGGTGATGACTGATATGATGTCATCAGCCCGTCCTGTAAACATGCGCCTTGGTTTCTCTGTTTTTATGTTAGTCTTTGATGGTGAATGATTTTCCATTTTAGCCATCTTTGTTAGGCCTAAATCTAACATTTTAGGGATAGTGATAAAAGTTACAAGTTCAAATGTGTAACTTAAAGTTGGTTCTGGAAATTCTGACGGTAGTAGGTCTGCTCCTGTGTGTGTCACAAGCGTTTTCTGGCCGGGGCAGCAGTAGCTCAACAGGTTGAGCGGGTTGTCCAGTAATCAGAAGGTTGCAGGTTCGATCCCGGTTCCGGACAGAGAATTCTGCTGCTGTGTCCTTGGCCAAGACTCTTAACCCACCTTGCCTGCTGGTGGTGGTCGGAGGGACCGGTGGCGCCTGTGCTCGGCAGCCTCGCCTCTGTCAGTGCTGCCCCAGGGCAGCCGCCCAGGGGCACAGCTGTGGCTACATTGTAGCTCATCACCACCAGTGTGTGAATGTGTGTGTGAATGGGTGAATGGTACCCTGTAGTGTAAAGCGCTTTGGAGTCCTTACTCTGAGAGGCGCTATACGCTATATGGTAAAAACTCAGAAATGTGTCAAATTCTGATTTGCCAAACTTGGCCAGAAATCATAACAAAGTAGTTTAATAAATCAAGAATTACTTGACATGACTTGACTTGATTACTGACAGATCATCTGCTGCTGTGGCCCCCAGACTCTGGAACTCTCTCCCCCTGAGCCTGAGATCAGTGGTCTCCTTTAAAAAGCAGCTGAAGACTCACTTGTTCAAGCTGGCTTTTGTATGACCTTCTTCACCCCTCTCTCTTTATTCTGCTCTCCCCACCTATTCCACCTTCCTCAGGAACCACTGATTTCCCTCTTTCCTGTTCACTCTCTCTCTCTTAACATATTTTCTTTTAAATCCCAATTGCCTATTTTTGCTCATTTTAAATATATTTTTAAACATTTTCTAAATGCTTTTTTATATTTTTACATTTTTTTGTTTTTGTGAAGCGCCTTGTGATTTTTATCTTGAGAGGTGCTCAGGAGCGGATTAAGGACTGAAGAACATCCGGGGCTTAACACACGCACACACACGTGCGAGTGCACGCACATACACACACACACGTGACACGCACTAGTCAACATCATATTTGTCTTGTACCACATAATTTTTAATCTGAAGCTACACATTAAGCATTTTCAGGGCAGAGTATTGTTCCTGTTAGTGTTTAGTGTGAGATGATAGTAAATATTCTCTTTCTTTCTCCAACAACGTTACCTGATAGTAAGCTAACTTTAGGCAAACCAGCAGCACAACAAATATTTTCAAATAAGACTCACAGACCTGAGTCAACACCAGTCTCATCAAAGCTGGGGTTCTGTCGTTGTACTTTTGGTCTAAAAAACGTCCTTATGTCCATCTTCACTCATGCGTTTCAGGCAGAGACTGTAGAAGAAGCCGGCTGCTGAAGGGCTTCTTCTTCAGTGGTGGAGGCTCAGGCAGGCTGTATACAAACTACTGCCAGCTGCTCCCTCACTGTTGGACTTTGGTACTGCATGTTACTTCAGCGATTTAGATCCGGGGCTTTTCATGAAATATCCGGGGCTTCAGCCCAAGTAGCCAGGCCTAACGCCGCCCCTGGAGGCGCTATAGAAATGATATTTTCTTCTTCTTCTTTTACTTCCCAAGTAACTCAGTTTCCAGCTGACCCCGATTCGGCCAAATCGGGAAAGAAGCCTCTTTTGAAACAAACTCCTTTGACCTTAAGTCAAAACCTTTCTGCGACACTGCAAGTGATTACAGACACAACCGCTCTTTTCAGAGCTACTTCACACCTAATCTGCAGACCCCAGGTTGCATCTCATGGCCGGGGAAGCCAACTCAGAGGAAGCTACTAATCTCTGAGTATTGTGATTTCGACGTCCGGTGACCTCACCACTCTGACCGCAAACCTCCGGACAGACGGGAGCAACTCATACCAGGGTATCATAGACCTGCATACTGGTGTCTGATGAGGTTTTTCACAATAACTAACTCTCTAGTTTATAACAAACTACAAATTCTTTTACACCCAGATTTTTTTCTTTTCTCTCAGATACAAAGAACGGTTGCTACAACATCCAGCTTCCATCACAACACCTCACATCCACCACACCACATCTCATCGCTAAAGGGGCCTTTACAGTTTCATGTCCCAAATATCTATAACTGTTTACATTCTCCAAACACAACTAAAACTACAATCAAACTGTTTAGATGGGAAACAAGGTCGTTTTAAATTGTACTAAATTAATATACAATGATATTTGAACCTTATTTTAGAAGGTCTGGCCTTCGCTGGTGTCTGCTGGAAAAAAAATCTTGAACAAATTTAGTTGAGGATCCCTGGAATAAATAAAACAATAGACTAAATTCCTCAATGGAATTTGAACTCACAACCTCCATCCTGTAAGCACTTTCACACAGGGCAGCTCTTCTAAAATAAAGTTCAAGTATTATTGTATCTTAATGTATTAAAATTTAAAAATAGCTTTGTTTACAATCTAAACTGTTTTGACGTTAGTTGTAGTTGTGTTTGGGGAATGTAAACAATTATTGATATTTGGGACATGAAACTTTAAAGGCCCCCAATTGGGAGGCATTATAGGGCCCAAAGAAAAAAGGCCTAGGGCCCTTTGGCTTGCTTGAATGGCTTTTCCCAACACCGAAGATGGTGCCGTTAAGTTATTAAATCTCATAAAACAAGACTTTGAATCTTATGATCCCATTTAATCGGGACTTCTTTTTCCATGAATACAACAAAGACTTGAGGAAAAAGATTTCTTTCTCCTGTGTCTTTTATTTGTACAGTCGGCCAATTTTATGTGAAAAAGCCTCAAGTTATGCATAAAAATAACAGTTTATGTGCGCTGGTGCTGAGGCTAAAGCTGAGAGTCCAAGCAAAGTGAGTGATATCAGAACCAGCGGGTTCAGTGCTCGTCCTCTCTAACTAGAGTTTTAGTTGATTTCGCTGAATACCGGTTAACAACTGTGGCCTGATCAGGCCTCATTCAGATGACTGGAGAAGTTAATCACACGTTGTCAGAGTGGATTCTGGTTTTTACACAACAGTGTGTACCCATGGTGATGTAATGTCTGTAGTGCTTTTGTAGCATGTCTGCCACCTGTGTATTAGTGCCACAACTCCAAAAGACGAGGTCCTCTGGATAACGGCCATCTGCACGATGATGCAGGAGTCTTCTGTCTCGCTGGGGCGATCTGCCAGGTTTTGTCTCTGGGGGCTTATCTAGTTGTAGTATGACTCAGGCAGACCAACACAATGAGACACAGCCTCATGCTGACTCACAGAGCTCATTCATAAGAGCAAGAAAAGTGAAATCACTGTTTTTGTGTGTGTTCCTCAGCTAAAAAACGCTGCCACCTGTACTGTCAGTTCAAGGAGACCAGAAAAGTCATCCTCGTGGAGGAAGTCGTCCTGGATGGGACTCGCTGCTCATACAAGGACCCACACAGCGTGTGTGTGCGTGGGTCGTGCGAGGTAAGTGACTTTATGTTTGAGTGTCATTGCCGGAAAGCTTAATGTGTTCCGGTCTACGTGTGTTAAACTTCTCATGTCCTCGTTAACAGAAAGCTGGCTGTGACAAAGTGATTGGCTCCTCAAAGCAGGAGGACGAGTGTGGAGTGTGTGGAGGCGACAACTCTAGCTGCGAAACCTCCAATGGCACAATAACACTGCCAGCAGAGAAGCAGGGTAAACACTGAGAGTCATCTAAATCTGAGACAGACTTCCTCCTGCTGAAGTTTGTCAGAACCTATTATAACAATGCCCTCTAGAGGAGAATTTGCTAATCTGACCGTAGCCTTCAGGAAAGTCTGAGCGTGTGCATCTCCCATGTCAGCGCTGCCAAAAACATTAAGTTCACGAGCTAACGCTAAATGTATTACATCACACGAGAAACACAGGAATCGTTGCAGAAACATTGCAGGGATTTTACCAGAAGAGCAAGAATATTTGAGCGAAGGAGATATCCTTCAGTAGATTGTCGGTAAGCCGGAAAAAAAAAAAAAAACGGGATCCTGAAAGGAAGGGATTTGAATTTCGAGCCACAAGCTTCATGAATGTGTCATTTCAGGTTTCCTCAATGTTCTTGGAATCCCACGAGGAGCAAGACACTTACTCATTCAGGAGCTGAAAGCCACACCACACACTCTTGGTATGTTGCACCGCACTCCTCTTTAGTGCCCAATTTTACATGTTTGCTTTTCTTTATTGTAAATCATCTCTATGTCGTACCTACAGCTGTTATAAATGTGGCATCGGGACAGTTCTTCCTAAATGGAGGAGATGAATACCCAGAAACCCACTCAGTCATAGAGAAGGGGATAAAGTGGGAATATGAGAACGACAATGAAAAGGAAACCCTTCAGAGCGCGGGGCCCCTCAGACATGAAATTCTAATAATGGTAACACATAAAGTAACTCCTTTTAAAGGTGTGATTATAAATCTAAACTGTACTTTTTTATACAGATGAAACTTCACGGAGATGAGGATGTACATTTGTCCTATAAGTACTTGATGAATAGGAACGACTTTGCTATTCAGAGCAACAAGCTGGTAGAGGACAGCGCCTACGAGTGGGCCTATGAAAGATTGTCTGACTGCTCTAAGACTTGTGGTGGAGGTACAACAAGTACCCCTACTCCTATTTCTCGCCTCCTTCAATGTGATTGGGTCATTTTAATATCAGTATATCTGTTTTTAGGAAAGCAGTACCAGCGATACGGCTGCAGAAGAAAGGTTGACCGCCTGATGGTTTCCAAAAAATTCTGCAAAAAGTACAATAAGAAGCCAAGGGGGGGCACTCAGTACTGTAACCAGAAGCCCTGCCCTCCACCCATGTACGTGATGGCCTTTAAATATGAGTGGGGGAAAAAAACAAAAACTTCAAAACTTTTATTCTTCTGTTTTTGCCTTCCAGATGGGTGGCAGGGGAGTGGCAGAACTGCAGTATGCCCTGTGGAAAGGCAGGGTCACAGGTCCGCTCCGTTAGCTGTGTTCAGCCGTTAGAGGACAACACAACACGCCTCATTCACAATAAATACTGCAGCGACGATCGTCCAGAGTCCCGCAGACAGTGCAACCGCTTCCCCTGCTCAACGCAGTGGAGAGTTGGGCCCTGGTCACAGGTACACAAGCAAACAGAGTTTACAAAGGATCCTAAGTGAAAATACTCCATCAGACTGTGTGTATCTTGTACCTGTAGTGCTCGGTGACATGTGGCAATGGGACCCAGCAGAGACAGGCTCTGTGCCGCACCAGGAACAACACCATCGGCCTGTGTCTGGACAGCAAGCCTGAAACCATAAGAGTCTGTCGCCTGGAACCATGTCCCAGTAAGTCCTGAGCTGTCTCCACCTCACGAATAACTCTCCAGGCGGTCATACTGACAGCTGTTGTTCTGTTTTATATGTTAATAATAAAAGACAGATCAAAACGGATCAAATGAAAACACTAATTAGTCTTTAACAAAACCAACTTCCTACACAATAAGGAAGTTCCAAAGCAGGTGAAACTTTAGCATTTAAAATATGGTGCAAACGTCCATTTATTTCAGTAATTCTTCTTAGACTGAGAGACCATCTAAAGGCTCAGGAAGTCTTTGCAGGTGGCAGGTAGCTGATTAGAGTGTGACACCAGCAGGCTTGGCCACTCTCTAGCAAATACAAAACAATACGGCTCAGAGCTGCGTACCTCTTTAACCCTTCCACTCTCCTAATGGGTGTGATCCCACGAGGAAAGTTGGCCGTTGAGCAGGATTGATGGTTTATCCCTTGGGTCCATGTGGCAGGGGTGAGGAGTGAGCACCACCTCACCCCTGCCATGTGGACCTCAAGGGATAAACCGTCCCTGCTCAATGGCCAACTTTCCTCACGGGGTCACACCCATTAGGAGAGTGGGAGGGTTAAAAAGTCCTCCTTCTTTTCTTGTAGTAAAAGAGGTGGAGAGAAAATCCCCTAGCCTGTTGCTGTTTCTTTGTTCCTCTGACTGAAAGCTGATTTATACTTCTCCGTAAGCTCGAGTATGGAGTTGGGCAGACACATTGAGGGAGATGTTTTCCTTTCAGACTCTGTCACCTGGGGAGTGTTGCAAAGCAGTTCCTCGCCAGGACAACAGAGGGCGTAACGCTTTTCTGTGGTATCATGCATCCATTTTCTTTATGTCGTCCCACTAGATATCGTCGGCTCTCTTTTTCTTTTTTGAGGGGAAATGGCTGTGCTGTTGAGGAAGTTAAAGGAAGCAGCATTCTGACCAATCACAAGCTTGCAGTCTCCCTCATTTTTAATGGATAGTTAAAAAGTAGTGCATGAGTTCTTGTGCCAACGCATAATGGCATTGCGTGTCTCCGTACCCACACACACGGAGAAGTACAAATCTGGCATGAGCAGTTTGTGTGTGACGGCTTGTTTCTCCAATTGAAAACCGTGTGTGGGGTGGGGGTGGGGGGGGGGGATACTGTCAATCACTGCCTCAGTCTGCGGGGTGATGCCTACTTTGTTTTTTCTCTTCCTGTGACTTTGTGACTGTTCTAACAAAGATTAGGAGTAAACCTGGACGAGACAAAGTGCTATAAGAGCTCATATTTTACTCTGCTATGGGTTTGTGATTTTATTCTGGGGTCAACTAAAAGACATTTATATGCTTTAGTCTTTAGAGGTGATCTCTGATTCAGTACACCTGATTTTAGGTGATTAACTGGCTTCTCCACATCTTGACCAGGCAATTCAACCATAGAAGCAGATGTGTTGGAGTAGGGAAACAACTAAAACATGCAGGGCACTGGCCCTCAAGGGCTGGGGTTGGACACTACTTTGCTAAAAGAGCAAAGATGTAAAAAATCATGCAATGTTTTCTCTGACTTATCTCCATCACTCTTTTTATTTCATTGCAGAGGGCCGATCCGACCTCAACAAAAATGGCAACATTCTGATCCAGTGGCTTTCTCGTCCTGACCCCAACTACCCCAGGATCTCCTCACGTAAAACCTCCCTCTATAGTTCCCAGCCTGGCCTCCACAGCAGCAGCTGCAGCTGCCTGTCTGTCCTCTGCTGGGCCCTGCCCATCTCTGTCCTCCTCTCTCTGCAGGGCCGGCCCCGGCTTGCCCCCTGACCTGCCCCTCCCCCCACGCCTTGTGCCTGTGCCCGCTCACTGCGGCAAAGCTTTCGCTTCTCTTTTAGGGGGATGTTGTGTCTCTCTCTGTGTCTGAGGCGGCTCTGACCAGGGGAGGTCTCTGGCTCCTGTGTGTGCTAGTTGGTTCTCTCTTGCTCTGTCTCTTTATCTCTCTCTCGCTCTCCTCTGTGGAGCATTGTGTTGTGACCGCTGGCCAGTTGAAAACTTCAAAAGATCAACAAAAAATTTGAAAAGGATTCAAAGTGGTGAGGAAGAGGAGCAGGTTTTCATTGGCACCTCCCGTGATGTGTCAAAAAGTCGTTGCACAGCCTTCACATCTGATGGCCAAGTTTTGCGCGAGCTAGCTGCGTGTTGTTATGGGTTACCACTCCTGTGACGCAGCAGTGCTTTTCGCTATGTGTAGCGCATTATTGGTGCGGGGAGAAACAGATGTGAAAATAAATAAAAATAGTATATAATATTCATTAAGAAAAAAGACATATATATTTAAAATATGAAAGCTTTATTGTGAATGTGATTTGAAGACATCTTTGCTAAAGTGCTCATCTGACATCTTGGTTCCATTTGAGGATGAGAATGGTGTCTCATCCTAAAGTTCCACTCTCAGATTGACGGGAGCATAGCAAAGGGATTGAAAGTGATGTGTGTAAACCTTTTTATTCTTTTTTTCCCCCTGGGGGAACTGGGAGATGAAAAAATATTGAAGGACAATTAAAGAAAAAAAAATGTTTTAAAAAATAAAAAACAGGGTAGTTTGACCACTTGGTTGCTTCCCATTTCACCTCATCATCAGCCATCCTCTCTTTGACTGTTATACAAAAATTCAATAAATGCAGCTTATTTGTGCTTGCAAACTTTGAACAAATACATCTATAAATATATTTGTATTTATACATATACATACAAGCATATACATATATATATATATATATATATATATATATATATATATATATATATATATATATACATGTATGTGTGTGTGTGTGTATAAACATATATATATACAGATATATGTAAAAAAATATACATATATATGTATAAATATTTTTTACATTTATATGTATATGTGTGTGTGTTTATACATATTCATACACACACATATATGCACATATAAATCTAAATCTATAGAAGTAACAATAATATTAATAATGTTTTACCATGAATAAGCTGTAGCTTATTTGCCTAAAACCTTTGGACTGCTATCGATCGCATAGATCCTTGACTGTTATGTGTATTTTTTTTTTATCAATTTTACATGAATACAGGTGAATATTTAATAAAAGGTGAAGTGTTTGGGGGGAACGGGTTTGACACATATGCAGGACTTGGTCAGTTAGTTGCCTCTCCATTGTCTGAAATGGATCAGTGGTTTACTGTCACCTCTCATTTTTTTAAGGATCTGGATCATGTCTTGTCATGCACATTTGCCTCCATCACCTGTGTGTTTGCATATATAGGTGTGTGTGTGTGTGTGTGTGTGTGTGTGTGTGCGTGCGTGCGTGCGTGCGTGTGTGTGTGTGTGTGTGTGTGTGCGTGTGTGTGTGTGTCTACGTTTACATTCTGTGTGCTGCTGGATGCATGTCTTTGCATGGGAGCTTGCACAAGGGAGCAGATGAGGCGAAGCGGTCATTGTGGAAGTTGACGTTTATGTGAGCGCGTGCGTTTGTGTACGAGGGTGCTGCATCATTTAGGAGTTTTCACACTGCGATCAGATACAGAAATACCTCATAAACTTTGATTTGAAAGCATCTGGTGATTTCACTTTATTTTGATTAACGTTAACCACATGAACAATGCCTTATCTTGGATTGAATGTACTGGCATTTATCTGTGAAAGAGATGGCTTTACTCATTCAAAGTTTCACTCGGAATAGAGGCAGCTTCAAACCAATGTAACTCACACCCGCCAACCATCAAACCTACCAAGGTATTGCTTGGCCGACTACTGGAAGGGGTTTTCTAAGGGCCTATGGTATTGACACAAATGGCATCTAGGAAAAAAAGAACACTTCAGAGTTGTCATTGTATTGTGATCACATATTTTTGTTGTGACTATGTAGCGAGCTATCCAAGGTTTCCTGCTGCTGGAGTTGGACTATATGAGACCAAGCCAGACCTGCAGTGCGATACTGTATATAACATTGGTGTTGACTGTATTTAATAATGTTCATGACTGTTATCTTCTTCTATAATATTCTATACTATGGGTAACTGTTTCGTGGCTTCACTGGCCTGCTGTGTGGGGCTGGCTAACGTTCAGCTAACGTTGAAGAAACATTCAGATGGACTACGTGCACTGCGTCTATATGCACTTTGATTTATCAGGGAAATTTTATTAATGTTTTGTAAATGTTTCATATGACACTTAATGTGCCATTCCAGTTTTTACATCATCATGGAAATTATGTATTTTCTTTAAAAAGCAAATATAATTTATGTACTTCATGTTTTCTTTTTTTAGTCTATAAAAACAGATTGACTGGTTGATTTCCAAGTAATCAAGTGTTTTACCAAAGTGACTGTGAACTTGTAACTTTCGATACAGTTGAATTATTTTTCTTAAGAAAAAAAATATATCTATTTAATGGGAAGGAGGAGGTATATCTCATTGTTTCAGTTCCTGTCATTCTCAACAGCAAAGTTGTATCAATAAAATTGTTTTAAAAAGTGTGATCTTTCTCTCAGCAGGAATATTTACTAATTAGATTTGTTGTCACAGAATATAAATATTTTTAGTCTCATGGAACAAAAAGGCTTCCTGTCATGTTCTGTGTCCCTTTGTTCCCCAGCTCCTCCAGTTCCCACTCCAGGTTCTCCTTTTGTGTTCTCTTAGCGCCCTCATGTGTCCTTTGTCTGTATCTCTGTTGTGTGTCTTAAGTTGTAGCCCCAGCCTCTTGTTTCCCAGTTCATTGTATGTGTGTATGAGTTTGTGTGTGTCGGTATGTGTATGTGTTTGTGTGAGTCCTTCCCTTAGCCTTTAGGTTTAGTTTTGTGTTTTATATAGTGTTAGGTTATCTGCCCTCCTCTGGTTCTCTTCCCCATCCAGATAATTGTTGTCACCTGCCTTCCCTCCAGCCTCACTCCACACACCTGCTTCCTGTTTCCCTAATTGCTCCTCCCTGTCTATATAAGCCCTCCTTGTCTCATTGTTCTTGTCGGTCCATTGTTGTTTGTCAGCGTTGTTCTTTGGTGCTCTGTGTGAGCTTCCTGTCTAGTCCCCAGTTTGTGCTCTAATTGAGCTTTGTTCTCCTGCTTTTGCATTTCTGGATTTTGGGCTCCTTGCCTCTGGATTTATTTTTGTTCATCCTACAATAAAAGGATTTTTTACTTTATATCAACTCCTGTCTCATATCGTCTGGTGCTCTGCATATTTGGTCCTACTCATCCTAATCAGAACGTGACACTTCCTTGTCAAGTAGTTTATTTGAAAATGCATTTTAAAAATTTTAAGTATTGCAATGAACTTTAAGTGAAATGTTTTATATTAACATAATCAATCTAAAACCTATTTTATTGAAAACACAAAACTGGCAACTCTTCCTTTTCAGTTACTCTGAAGTAATGTAATGGCTTCTCTTGTTGGGTATCTTTTCTGCATCCTCTGCTGATGGTCTGGCTTTACTACTCTTCTTTCCAGAGTGTGAAATAACCCACTCTCACACACACACATATACACACACACACACACACTCAGAGGCACACAGTCATTTGCATTTACATCTCCTCTAGCATACACCAAAAAGATACAACTAAAGTAAACATTCCAACAATCATACAATGCTTCATATTCTCAACTTCTGTCTGCTTCAAGTCTCAGTTCTGTGTTCTCTCCTTCACAGGTCTGCGTTGCCGTGGAGACCGCTCTGTGTTTTGCCGCATGGAAACGCTGAAGCGCTACTGCTCTCTGCCGGATTACTGGCGCATATGCTGCAAGACCTGCAGCAACATCACTAGTGCAGAAGCTGTGCCCAGCTCTACTTCTAGATCCACCCTCATCACTTCTGTTACAGCTCACACATCCAGCAACATACCTAGCTCTGGATTCTCCACCTCCCAACAAATTAAAGTTGGCATTACTACCAATCCAGCTTCTACCACTGATTCGGTGTCTACCACTGGTTCATGGACTACTACTTACCTCCCAACTACTGCACAAAGTCTATTTTCCAGTCAAACTCCATTGAGAACCACCCAAAAAACAAGCACAGCACAAATGATCTCCAATCACCTACAACTTACAACTATTACATCTTCCCTTCCAACAACTTTTCCTAACTTCATCACCACATTTTCCAACATCTTTCCTACTGAAGAGAGCACATATCCACAGTTTCAGAGCACTACAACTACTCCAACCGCAGGGACAGTAACTACCACAGACCTTACATTAAACTTCAGTCCAGTAAAAACAAATCCAACAGAAAGTAATACAAAAACACCCATCTTGCTAACATCCAGTTCTAACAAGGAAAGTAAACCAAAAGCCAAGAAAAAGGTGATTCTAAAAAAGGTTAGTCAACCAAAAAAGGAAAAACCAAAAACTATAAAAAACTATGTTCCACCAAAGAAAATTATCAAAACTAAAACAAACACTAGTCCAAAGATTGGTACTCCCAAAAAGTTTGATCCACCAAACGTTAATCCCAAAAAGACAAATTCATCTATCAATAGTCCCAAAAAGGTGAATCAGCCATATATTGGTTCCAAAAAGACAAACTCGTCAATCACTAGTCCTAAAAAGTTTGATCCACCATACATTGGTCCAAAAAAGATTAATTTGTCAAACACCAGCCACAAAAGCATTACTCCACCATACATTGATCCCAAAAAGACAAATTTGTCTATCACTAGTCCCAAAAAGTTTAACCTGCTCAACCTTGGTCCAAAAACGACTAACTCATCAATCACTAGCCCCAAAAAGTTCTATTCGCCATATATTGGTCCCAAAAAGACTAATTTGTCAATTACTAGTCCCAAAAAGTTTGATCCGCCAAATGTTGGTCCCAAAAAGACAAACTTATCAGTCACTAGTCCCAAAAAGTTTGATCCGTCAAATGTTGGTCCCAAAAAGACAAACTCATCAGTCACTAGTCCCAAAAAGTTTGATCCGCCAAGTGTTGGTCCCAAAAAGACAAACTCATCGGTCACTAGTCCCAAAAAGTTTGATCCGCCAAATGTTGGTCCCAAAAAGACCAACTCATCGGTCACTAGTCCCAAAAAGTTTGATCCGCCAAATGTTGGTCCCAAAAAGACAAACTCATCAGTCACTAGTCCCAAAAAGTTTGATCCGCCAAAAGTTGGTCCCAAAAAGACTAATTCCTCAATCTCTAGTCCCAAAAAGATTGATCCGCCAAACGTTGGTCCCAAAAAGACAAATTCCTCAATCTCTACTCCCAAAAAGTTTGATCCACCAAATGTTGGCCCTAAAAATACAAATTTGTCAGTCACTAGTCCCAAAAAGTTTTATCCACCATATGTTAGTCCCAAAAAGATTAATTCATCGAACGCTACTCCCAAAAAACCATACACTGGTCCCCAAAAGACTACTCCACCAAAAACTAGTACTAAAAAGTCTACTCTACCAAATATCCCAGCAAAAAAAATTACACTAGCAAACAGTAGTCCCAAGAAAGCATCAAATTGTACTTCTAAAAACATTATTAAAGCAAACCCATCTGCCAAAAATATTACTTCATCAAGTTTGACTTCAAAAACGACCACTTCTGCGGAGACCTCTACAGGGAAAGTAAACAAAAAGAAGGCTCCAGTGAACACCAATCCCAAAAGAAACACAGAACAAAAGACAAAATCCTCTAAACAAACTCAAACAAAACCAAACCTTCAAAAAATATTTAAACCAGCACCCAAAAGTTCCAGTAAGTCACAGACTAAGATCAAACAAGACAGAATCAATTCCAAACAGACATCACAAATTCATACCATAACCCCTAACCCTTCTTCAAATCAAAATTCATCACTAGAAGAAGTTATTTCTAATATTCCTTCCAGTGGCCATAGTACTGTGGCAATCTGGCCCTTCCCTGAGTCAAGAATCAGTCCTACACCCATCAGTAGGGAGGTAGTTACTACAGATATATCTCCATTGTTGCACCATGATAACACACACACAGAAGCCCCGATACCCATCCCTTATACTGATTTTGTCACACCTACAGGAAACATTAATACTGAGGGTATTACAATGACAAACAGTGGTGATGCTACAGACACCAGTGGGACCCATCCAAGTGGTGATGACAAAGAGTCCTACAGCAGTTTTGTAGTAAATGGGGACACTATTGTGCTGGAGGATGGCTTCTCCATGGTCATCCCAACCATAGATGGAGACGATATGACCGAGATAGTCTCTTCACCCTGGCTGGATTTGTCTGAGTATATCCCTGTGAACATCCCAATTTCTACAACAACCCCAGACCCAGCTGCCACATCACTTCCCACTGTGATCACTCATAGCAAAGGAGAACCAACGACTGTAGTCTCAACAACAGCCTCTACCTTAAAGACACAACAAAGAACTATGAACAATGAAAACAATGCTGTTGATTTTTTTGAAAACAAACTAAGCAGTGTAGATGGTGATGTCTCTCAGAATAACTTGATACCAAAGCGTCGAATCAACCTCAGAGAAAGAACCAGGAACAAACGTATTCAGGAGGTTCTGGAGGAAAAACGAAATTTTCTCCTACGGATGAAAAGAGGTCAGAGTGTTCATTAGAACAAGCTTTTCCATTTCTCTCATAGAGATGAACCTTTTAAAGCACATCCTCAGTGCCACCGTTTGATGTAAGGCTTTCCTTGAAAAAAATGTTCATCAAATCCGGACTACTGGTGGGAACAAAGGTCAATATTCTGAACAGAGGAGAAACTCTTGAGTGACCAAATACTGAGGATTCTTTTGTAAACAGTGATAAGAAACGACGAGGCATGTTCACCATATCTTTTTCCATCCTAATCTTTCTTGTCAAAGAAGTCTGTCATAAAAAATTATGTGCAAAAGTGTTACCTATAAATGTGGTCTTTATGTCTCCTGGCATTATAAGGTCTCGGAAAGTTTGGAGAAACAGGTCAAGTGTTATGTTTACTGGGACAGAGTCAAATGATCACCTACCAACAATTAGTTTCTTCTGCCCATGTTTTACTACTGCCAAGGACTGCAGCTACCCCCTCACACGGACACCTCACTTCCCTAATGACGTCTGTTTGCGTTTGACGTGTTTAACACTGAATACTGTTCATCAAGTCAATATGAGTTCTCATGAATCCTAAAAGCTGGTAAATGACCAGAAATTGACTGATTAAAAGTTTACTTTTGGTTTTATAGTATTTCAAAAGTTGACACTGGTTGGATTGTGTTGTCCTTTCCAAAGTAGAGATTCTCTGAAAGACTTCTAATCTCTCAGGTGTTTTCAGTGTTAAAATTTGATAAGAGGCTTCTAGAAAAAATGTGGTTCTTTAATTACAAATTAAAGCCTCCTTAATAAGTCAGGTAGAAATCAGACAAAGCAGTTGTTGTATTATTTTCCTATTAAACAACTAGCCAATTACAGTGCTTTTTTATGTCTCTGTTGCTGAAAGCAATGTCTGTCATACAGCTATTTATGCAGGGGAAGTAGAAAAAATTTAAAACAAGCCCTAAAACAACGTCCTTCCAACTACAGCTTTGAGGATCAGGTAAATTTTTTTATTCTCTAATAGTATATATTGTTTGTACATCTTTAGACTTGCTGCAACCGCAAAGCCACCTTTATTTCTGTGCAGTATATGTACATATAAAATAGAACTTAATGTTTAGTATTTATTAAAGTTTAAGCAATATTTTGCAATGAATAACTGTTGTGTGCTGCGTGATCTGTCTTTCATTGTCATCCATCAATCTAACAGTTGTAAAGTATGTCCCCTAGGGGGAGACAGAACACAGTGTTTACAGTCCTGCTAAAAAATGTTTTTTATATATATTTTTTATGATAAAATGCAAAAAGGCTAGGATTTTTTTATTTCATTGTTACTTTATTGTTATCTCCTGAATACCCTTAGAAAAAGTAAATGTAGCGCTATAGGGCAGGTTAGTTATTGTAGCAATTAAGTTATAAACAAAACTTTTCACATGAGTAATTTTTTACTTCTATACGAATCTGTTTCAAGTGAATAATTTTGATGATTTATTGGCACGAAACAAAATGATTAATTTCTTAAGTTTTAGAAAACAACCAAATGACATAATTGGTTTGTAGACAGAAGCACTTTCTCACACAGGCTGCTAAAGTGCTGCTGTTAAAGGGAAAGATACAGGACGTCTTTCTACCATATCTCATCACATTGTACAATAGCAACAACTAAAATCTGGTTCATAATATACAGTAAGTAGGCTTTTCGTGTTTTATACTTCTCAGCCCTTTTTATGTTGCTGTTGTTTTTAACTGTCTTAATGTGTATAATGCTGCAGCCGGGGATCATTAAAGTAAATCTATCTATCTATCATCTATCTATCTATCTATCTATCTATCTATCTATCTATCTATCTATCTATCTATCTATCTATCTATCTATCTATCTATCTATCTATCTATCTATCTATCTATCTATCTATCTATCTATCTATCTATCTATCTATCTATCATCTATCTATCTATCTATCATCTATCTATCTATCACCTATCTATCTATCTATCTATCTATCTATCTATCTATCTATCTATCTATCTATCTATCTATCTATCTATCTATCTATCTATCTATCTATCTATCTATCTATCAATCTATGTATCTATCTATCTATCTATCTATCTATGTATCTATCTATCTATCTATCTATCTATCTATCTATCTATCTATCTATCTATCTATCTATCTATCTATCTATCTATCTATCTATCTATCTATCTATCTATCATCTATCATCTATCTATCTATCTATCTATCTATCTATCTATCTATCTATCTATCCATATGTCTGTCTAAAAAAATTGGTATACATTGATTTCTGCAAAAATAAGATATAACTAGACACAATGTGCCATTAACTAGGAGAAAAACAAGCAGAACTAAGACAAATTTTAGCCTGTGTGTCATTTCTACACATCTAAAGAAATTGACAAGTTATGTGCGTATTCACCACTTTTATAAAGTCCTGAGTCATTAATGCCATTCAGCTTCAAGGTTCATGGGTGTGCATTTTTCAAAGTCGCATTTTCCTCTGAAACCCTTCTGTGTCTGTACCATTGAAGACCAATGAGCAGTTTAGTCAGGATCCAAGATCTGAAGATAAAATATCAAATAACACAATGAATTATTTTAAACATAATCAGTCTCAAACTTGTCATGTGGTTCATGTAAAGGCTTTGTTATGAACCATTTTGTCATCATCAGTTTCACATCATTCCAGCAGAAATGTGTTTATTTGTTTAGTAGATGCTTTTATCCAAAGCAGCATGCATGTGTTTGGTCTGGGAGGAAAGCCCATGCACGCAGGGGGAGAGCACCCTAACCCTATGCAGAAACATCCTTGTCATGAGTCACTAGTGCTACCACCAGTAGAAATATTCCTGTCAGATCAATAATTTAACAGTGACCTAAAGGTAGCATTTACATCATATTATGAATGTTTGATGAATACTTTTGATGTGAAACAGCTTTTCTCTCTCTAATTAATTTACCGTTAGCTCATCGATCCAATCAAGACTCATCAGTTTCATCACAATGAGGTCATTCAAACAGCACGTTCAGACATTCGCAATCTTTTCACTTAACCCCACTTCAAAAGAGCTTTAATAGTCTGATCTAATCAGTTACCATTTTTATTAATATCAGGTTGTAAATCTGGCTGGAAACCTAGGAGTAAAAACAAAGACTGATTGAACTTGTGCACAAAGACTGTGGCTGTTCATTCTTCATGCTGTAATACAATTTTCTTCAAAACATTTAAAAAGAAATTGTTCCTAGAAATTCATTTCGTTCTGAAGAAACTGTCCTCTGCTATGATCGCTTCTCAGAATCTGCCAGGCAGCTGGGAATCAATAACCAGGCCGTTAAAAATCAAAGCCAACCTTTTCTTTAAAGTGTCATGTTTGAGCTGACATGCAGCGTGCACCAGACGCTTCTCTCAGTCATGGGCACACACAGTGAGAATCTTCCCGTTTTAATCTAATTGTCATCGAGTCTGAGGGTGAATAAGAACGAGGCTTAAACCACCGAGGCATTTCTCAAATTGTTACATAATTTGGGTTTGTTTTGTAAAAGTATAAAGACGTTTTGTGCCACCAGACCTAAAATTGTCGTGTTATGTTGTGAGCTCATGCTTTCAGTCATTCCTGAACCTGCTTGTCCTGTTCAGGGTCAGATAAACGAAGAGCACTTTGAACAGGACACCCTGTCTTCTAAACGCAATCACAGAGACAGGAGACAGACAACCACATGCCCATACAGAGGGTCAATGTAGAATCAAATGTTTACCCAAAATGCATGTTTGTTTGCCAAGTGGAAGAGTATAACCCGCACTAAAACTTCATCAAAAATTTCCAGCTGTTTCAACCACCTGTATTGATCAGCCAAAAGGATTTTTGCAGGCTTGAAATCCAAAAAAAGTCCCTCCAGAAGACAAAAGGACACTTTGGACATCCTCAGTCTTAACCATGATCATTAGCAAATAACTTTCATTGTATAACCTTCTCATAAGAGTTGACTTGTACCAGACTGCCACATTTAGTAGAATATCATAGATTTTCAGAGGAACTTTTATCATGTTGGCAACAGATTACTCAGCAGGTCTGATTTTAAACTAAAGAAAACGTTTCACCTGGTGTGTAGATCTGTCATGGTTAGAGTGATTATAAGGAACATGCGGTCTGCGGTGACTGTAACTGCAGCAAAAGCTACTTTTAAAAACATCTTAAAAGGTTTATGTTGTTATTGTTTTAAGTCTGCTTTTACCTTTTCATGTGTTTTAAGATTATTATTATTATTTATTTATTTATTTATTTATTATTGTGAATTACAAATGTATTAATATTTAACAAAAGGTCCTGAGACAGTTTATATTTAATGTTAGACAGTACTGTTAGAATAACCTTATCAGTGTTTATTTTGTGTGATTTATAAATGTGTTGTGCTTTTAAATGAATTGTAAAGAGTGCCCCAGGAAATCCCAACCTATTTTTTTCAATTACCAACAGCTTGCTATTACCCCAAAATTCCACTATCTCCGCTCCGCTCCGCTCCGCTCCGCTCCGCTCTGGCACGAACTCCGCAGCAAAAATGGTCCCATTGTAGTCGATCAGAGCTGTTCCACTATTGCGGCCATGCGGCGCAGTGCGCCGCCCGCCGTTCCGCCATCCGGCAAAAATAGGATCGATTCTATTTTTGCCGGACACCGGAGCACCTCTGCAGTCAATGGACAGAAACCACAACCGCCCAACAGGAAAGGGAGCAAGCACAGCTTCCGTTATTTCACAATAAATCAATAAACAAAAAGCGTTTTTTGTTTCATATGCACAGGTTTAACAACTTTTAAAAACTATCAATGGCGGTTGAACTTTAAATGCACAAAAATAAGCCATAAATACAGTTTCTACTATCAAAGTAGTCACACTTTGTTGATCCAAACACTGCTGATCTCTCAACACAAATGATGGGCAGATTAAACAGTTCATTTCAATGCTTCTCCCACACAACGGGTGTTTGGATCTAACTTCCGCGTTTATTGCTCGGACTGTATCGCAAGATCTCGAAAATCCTGCGCATGTCTGTTTGTGCACCTCAGGACTCCACACCAGAGCGGAGCCGTTGTAGAGCGGGTATAGTATAATTTGAGTTCGAAAGCGAGCGGCAGCGGAGGGCAGGGGCGGAGCGGAGATAGTGGAATTTTGGGGTTACAGTGAAATGTATGTGTAATGTAAATAATGAGTCAGTCATGGCATTTTACTTCCTAATGAGTCATTCAGAACTTTATCAGTAAGCTAACAGCTAAACAAGCCACCAAAATCTAGTAAGTGTTCCCTACCATAAAACACCCAAGTGTGCTAACATCAGATATTGCAGTGTATTTAACTACTTATCAACTTACTGTGTCATTCTCACTTGTCATCTAGAATTGTCTTCCACTGATTCATATGTAGCGGAAATCCACATTTCATATCCTCAGGTTAACTTTGTATGGGTTTGCACGGAAACGAACAATAACATTGTCACACAAAGGGTTCTTTCACCTTCAGCAGAAGGAAATAAAGAGGGGGATTTGAAACTGGCCCGCAGTTGGGCATTCTGGTTAATTCCTACATTTTTCTCCCAGGAACGTAAATTTTACCAACTGACTTGTTAAACCGGACAGTATCAGGACTTGATCTGTCTTACCTCAACCTGCCAATAACTGACTCTTTTCCCCCAGGCCGGGTGCTCGCAAAACTTCTCAAGGGTCATTCTGGAAGATTCCAGGATGTCGCTTTGATCAAAACCCTGGTATTTTTCTGTTAATCTATAATCAAAGAAGGTGTTTAGGTTGTTCACCCTTAAAATAGAAATCAAGGTGCTCTAAGTTAAAATCTTATCAGCCATAGACCTAAACTGTTTGTTTTGTGTTTCCTTTTTTGTTAAACCTCTGTCATTTGGTGTTTCTCCAGTTAAAATTCATGTTAATGGTAAAGCTGTTCAGTTGTAAGACATGAATTTTATTCTTTCCCATTTAAAGTAAGACTTTGATGCTAAAGTAATACTTTTGAGGCTTTAAATGAATAACTGTGTTAAATTGTGATCATGGATTTTTCCATCTCAGCGAAGGTAGAGTTTATTTGGAAGAGCCACAGTGCCCTCCAGTGGTTTTTGAGTAAGATACAGGTGGG